AAAAGTTGAACTCAGCAAGGAGTGTTGTAATATGACACTGAGGTGTACATTTTTGACTGGAGTCTCCGCACCTGAGGGTAATGGATGCTAGCTAATTGGTGTTTTCCCCCCTCCGCTAAATTTCTCTTCATAGATACCGGTATGTTTGAGTAAAAAAACAACACCAGGGAAATATGTGCAACATAGAAAACAGACAACAGAAAAAAACCTAGTGGTCCATCAAATCTTTCCTTTGAGTTCTTTATTTTTTGTTTTCTTTTTAATTTATTTATTTTTTTAATTACAATATGTTTGTGGCACAGTCAGCCAGGTATTCAGACTGGATTTGGCATTTATATCCACCTATGGAGTCCTTTCCAAGGACCTGGGATAGACAGATGTGAATGATGATGTTAAAGGTATTGTGCCAATATGTAAGCTGTTCTATAAATAAAGCTTCCTTTTCCAATTTATTATTATTTTTTATTTTTGTTGAAAGATGTGTTTATCTCAAGAATATTTAAACCAGTTACTGATGATGTGCCTTTCAATATTAAAGACAGCTTACAAAAACATAACAGAAAAGTACAGCGAAGTGTGAAAAGGAAAAGCATTTTCCAAGTGTGATTTAAAAAATGGTGCCAAACGTGATTACATTATCCTGGACACTGCAACTATCGTAAATATGAACCAGTTGCCAACCATCCAAATTTTGATCACATGACCATAGGGATGCTGTAATGCAATGGTCATAAGAATGAAAAATGGTCATAAGTCCTTTTTTCGGTGGCATTGTAACTTCGAACAGTTATTAAATTAACTGTTGTAAGTCGAGGATTATCTGTAATATAGCTAATGCAAATGAAGTTCCTGTATTAATCATGGAGTCTGATTTCTAATGAGGCCTACTTTGAATGGCTGTCACCAATTTTGAAAGCCTAATAGCTTGTTTCCTTCCATCTGTCTTACACTGAAAAGAGTCAAGACAGAGTTTAAATTTCTTTCATGTGCTATTGTTTCCCCATGTCAAGCCAGTGTTTTGCTAACATACTTTGCATATCTTCTCCAAAATAATCTGCAATTCTCTATATAAGCTTATTGATTGAATTACCTGGATTACTCAGTTTTAAATATCTGAATAGTACAGAGTTGGCATTTTCTCAAGAGTTTTGTTATCTTGGGTTATATAAAAAAAATCATTCTGTAATTTTTCCGTCATTAGCTTAGGCTGGTCCAAAAAAGTCAAGCAGTTCTATCATTTTTTTGAAAGGCAAGGTCAAGTTACTTTTTTATGATGTAAAGTTTACCTTAAATGTTTGCTTATTTAACAGTCTCCTCCGTGATCTTAATCATGAACAAAGAAACCACAACAAGCCGTTTGCCATGGGCCAGAAGATACAAATTTCATTGTACAACAAACTAAGGATATCATTTTATTTTTCCCGTGCTAAGTAAATCAGTAATAACTAACGTTAACTATGGCTTATCTATTTGTTTTTCAGTGACATCATCAAAGTAAACAAATCCCCATCGGATGCAGATTCTACCAGGTCATGACCCTAACCAGATATGATATGCATACCCCCTACCATATAGACTTCATCCTATATGGATTTGAACCAAAATTAAGTAAAGTGAATAATTAACAGAACTCAGGGCTCTAGTGTATTTGGGAATTTATAAATACATAATAATAGTTTTTTTTTCATTTTTGCTTTTATGTGCTCTTCCCTTTATATTTAAACTATTCTTTCAGATTCTAAAGTTTATTTTTCCCTGCTATATTGTTTGATAACTTGAGCAAAAATATATTGTAAAATATGTTTTATAATGGCACCGTATAAATAAGATACCTAATAAAGAAAGTACATCCATGTTCTGGTATGTATACAGTATTTGGCTTCAACTAACACTGATATCATACATTTTGAAGAATATTGCAATACTTGGTGGATTTCACAATTATTTCCAGGTGCGATGGTATTTTATTTTATCTATTTTATTTTATCTATTTGACATAAGATAATCTAATTGTCAGGATTCTGGCAGTCACCCAGAAGTGTGCTGGTCCCATAACCCAGACGTCAATAGATCGAAACCATCCTCTGCTACCACAGAAAGGGAGGGGGGAAAGGCTGTCAGGATTCCAGCATACTCCAATTAAATCATGAGTCTTGAGCAAAACTTCCAAAACTTCAAAAGGACTTATTGGGAGTTAACATGTCTGGCACTGCCTGGGTGTAGCCGATTCTGAGACACATAATTTATTGTCCCCCTTGACCCTGGTTTTCCCCCACCTCCTGGGTGTATCATAATTCATATTCTCCAATGACATAGCCAAGAGTCATCAATCATGTTATCCAGTTAGAATTTTGCGTGGCAGAAATTTCAGTCACCTAGTTACTATCTTTGAAAACTATGGAATGCACTTTTGATTTCCAAGCTGTTGCACTGCTCTTTCAAACCCCTTTCCCCATCTCCCTTTCTGTTGGCAACTCTAAAAAGACCATAGAAATAATTTATGAGTTGACACTAATTATTTGATGTAATAGAAAAATAAATGGCAGTTCCATGAAGCAGCTTTTTAAATGTTTTTGTTGCTAACTTCCCATCCTCAAAACAGCTAGTGGAGACCCAAAAATGGGCAGCTTTTTCTTTCTTGCACCATTTTGAATCTGTTGTCTTGCCACACAAATGGTCCTCCAAACAGAGTACAAGTACTCTCGGTTGTATATATATAATAAGTAATCTCAATGTTATAAAATACAAAATAAAATCATGTATGAAAAAAGCTATATAGGACAGCAACAAAATGCCAACATCCACATAACTGTCTGCCTGTGAACTTATCTCAACTATGTGGGTGTGGTTATGTAGGTAGATATTCAAATTTCATCTGTATCATGTGTCATAAAAATATCCCAATAAAGAAATGAGAGACAGCAATATAAATAAAGCAATTCTTACTTTAAGATTCAAATTTCATGAGCAATTTGGAACATGAATAGCCATCATAACATTACTTACATCAATAACCCACTGCGATGAGGTCCAGAGACAATAGCTAAGTCCAGCAAGGAATAGCTACGGCCAGTGGCCCTGAACTCATCCCAAGACATTATTTTTATACTTTTCTGCATGCATTTCACAACTTACTTCCTTGTTCTTTCTTACTGACAGTCTCTACATATACTCGTGTACGTCTCAAACCTCTATCCACCAGCTACTTTCAGTTCCTTATTTCTCATGGTTTTGTTCTTCTATGTCCAATATGTATTTATAAAGCTACATCCTTTGCAAAATCATGTTTCACAATTACCAATGGCTCTGCAGGAGTACAAATAGTCTGGTACATTTTGAAATCATTGTATCTAAAACTATGATTCATGTCACTTTATTCTGGGATCTGCTATCATCTGAATGCCTTATTGAATCTGATAGATCAATAGCCTATATTTTTGTTTCCCACAGTTGCCACTTCTCATTAGTAAGAACAACACAAAATGAAACATACAAAGCAATATCTACACATAAGCTACCGTATATCAATTATGGAAGTAAGTGCAACATCCTTCATTTAAGATGAAAGAGGACAGCTACATTGATTAAAAGGCATTTCAGTTAGGCAAATTATAAGACGGAATAGACAGGCTGAACTATTTGAATGGTGGGACATGCAATCCAGGGTATTGAAGAGGAGCAATGCGGCGGTGGTCCAGACTGCAGGCATAAGACCTCTCCTAATGCAGACTGTTTCTTGCAGTCCTTGCTGGGCTTCCACAAAGCAGTTCTTTTATCACTTGCAATTGCAAGTAGAGATGAGTTGATTTGATGCTGAGGTCTTGGTTGAAGATTGCACGGAGAGAGGGGAAGCAGAGGTTACTAGCACTTGCTTCCTTGTTGGGCAAAGCTTCAGTCTTTGCCTTTCTAGCAATCAGGTGGCCTGAGCTGAGTGTTTGCCTCATCTAGCGTTGGTACCTTCTTACAGTGCAGGAGGGAAGATGTTGACACTTCACAGCAGTATTGGTGGTCAGGAAGAACACACCCTTCCAACGAAGAGTCGGGCAATTTTTCTGTTGGAACACTTGTGCAGAGATGCAATGGTTCGGGCTAGCATGATCTTATTGGGAAATTCTTGTTTTAATTTTCATCCAGGTCCCAGGTCCATGACAAAGATTGTGGGCATTCAGCTTGCAAATAAACTAGAAAGCAGTTGAATCTTCTGTGTCTACAAATGTTATACTGAAAGTTCCAAAAGTTTGGCAAAAGTTTGCATGGTGGCATCTAGGATATCATTACCAAATCATAGATATAACTATTCTAGACCAGGAGCCCCCTATCACCAAGCAAAAACATCTAACAGAAAATGAGCAGGGGAGGGAAGATGAGAAAAAGGCAACACACATTAACCATATGAATAATCAATGTAATTCTAGACAAGGCCTTTCTTATCTATGGAAAAGTGGTCAAGCTCAGTCACTTGTGGTTACATTGATGTTCAGCATCTCATTCATACACCAATCACACTCTGCTTGCACCCTAATGCCAACACATTGATGCAAAGAAAACTGGATCTCATTGTATTTCTATTAGTAATTTGCTTGCTGATCTAAGGCCAGCTACTCCACATTGGATTTCCTTTCTTCTTCTGCTACAGCCAGTGGCCCTGGACTCATCCCAAGACATTATTTTTATACTTTTCTGCATGCATTTTACAACTTACTTCCTTGTTCTTTCTTACGACAGTCTCCACATATACTTCTACACATCTGTATATTTGTACATCTCAAACCTCTTTCCACCGGTTACTTTTAGTTCCTTATTTCTCGTGGTTTCGTCCTTCTATGTTCAAATATATTTATAAAGCTACATATTTTGCAAAATCATGTTTCACAATTAACAACAGTTTAGCAGGATTACAAATAATTCTGGTACATTTTGAAATCATCCTATCTAAAACTTTGGTTCATGTCACTTTATTCTGGGGCCTGCTATCATCCAAAGGCCTTGTTGAATCTGATAGATTTTATAGCCTATATTCTTGTTTTCCACACATGGTAAGAACTAGTGCTACAAGATACTCTTATCCAAAAGATTTATTGTATTTGCAAATGGACTGGTTACACTCCCAAACATTATATAACAAATAAATCATGTAAAATCAATGCCTTAACAGATTTTAAATTGCAGATAAAATTCTTCCCATATAACCGTAAACAATGTACTGAGTCTAAAAGATGTTACTGGTAGTTGACAGGCTCTTCCTTTGTTCCCTGCATATCCAAAAAGCATATGCAGAGAACTAATAAGTCAGCAGAAGCTCTAATAATAAAGGCTCTAATAAGTCAGCCGAAGCAGCTTGCCTTAAATTATTTGCATGTTGGAAATGCAGCGAAGGGAATCTTTTCATCCTTTCATTACTTATATAATGATATGCAAGCACAGAAGATATTACACAGAGCCATGTCAGTCTATGGTAGCCAAGCATTTTTGCAAAATAACACATTCTATTAAAAAATAAACTGTAATAACAAAAACTTGTATGTCTTTTAATAATGCTTGCTAGTTTGAAAAGGTGCCATCAGACCCTTACTAATTAACAGTAAGTGGAATGAGCAACATTAGCTTTTAAACCAGGCTTGCTCTCCTCAATCTTGCAAATGAGTGGCAATGGTAGGAAGCTAAAATCATTTTATTCCTAACATTTGTTCCTATCTAGTTTTACAAATAAGTGGCAGGGTGTTCTGTAGTAGCTAATTGCAGATATTCCAGGGTGCCTTTGCAGTAACTAGTCATGCACGAAATCTCTTGCATCTTGCAATCTCCTGTGGGTCGTTTTTGTAATGAGTCCTTTATCATCTCAGCAAAGTCAGACTGCAAACGCTGCTGATTCTCCCTGGAAATAGCAGTAAATATTTTTAATTATCTATACATTTCTATCTATCAATAATTCTATTCCTACAAATGCTGTTTAAAAGCTAGAAAATAAAGGGAGCTCATATAGCAGTGGCTGTATGAGCTAGTAACGCCTAGTTGATCTTAATAATAGCAGGTTGAGGCTTGGATGGCACCTGGATGACCATCAGAATATCCCAGGACTATAGAAATGGTGAAGAACTTGGGAAATAAAACCAAATAATAATAGACAACAGTAGCAAGCCTCTCTTCTGAATACAACATGGATGTGTGTACACATACACACACCAAGAGTCAAGCTTGCCTGGAGTGAGAATGTAGTTTTTTATGTGTCTCTATATCTTGCAGGGGGCAAAGTTGGCTTGGAAATGCATGAACCTGTCCTCAAAAAGCACCCCACCCTCAGAAAATAACAAATAGAAAGCACATATACTGCAAAAGATCCTTCTCACCTTATCAAAAGGAAAACAAGAATTATCAATCAACAATGCAAGAGGCATCCTGATTTGAACACTGGTTAACATCACAGCTTAAAAAAAAACTTACACAGAAGGAGGCGATGGAAGATTATATTGCTGATCCTTCACACCTGTCAGCCAATAAGTAATCTCAGTTCCTTTGCCCTAATATGAAATGATAGGATTATTATTAATTATTAACTATTATAATTGTTATTACTATATTGCATGTTTTTTTACAAAAGCAAACTATTTAAGCCAGGGGTGGGATTCAAATTTTTGAACAACTGATTCTGTGGGCGTGGCTTAGCTGCCAGGTGTGGCTTGGTGGTCATGTGACTGGGTGGACATGGCTTGGTGGTCATGGTACTGGCTGGGCATGGCCAACTCAGCATCACTCACATCGAGGCATGCATCTTCTTGCCTGGCCTCTCGTGACTGTGGGGATGCTGCAACAGTTGTAAGTGTGAAAAATGGTCATAAGTCACTTTTTTCAGTGCCATTGTAACTTTGAATGGTCATTTCACACAAGCAAAGTACCAGCAAAGGAAGGGGAAAAACTCCAGAAAGACAGGAAGTCTAGTCCTGCCAAAAATGTAATAAGGGTTAACGGAGAGGCAGTTTCTGTAAGCAACACCAGAATGTTTCCTTCCTGCCTTTCTTACAGGTTTAGGCCAGTAATTTCTTCTAACCAGTTCTCCGAACTGCTTAGAATGTTAGCAACCAGTTCTAGCAAATAGAATCCCACCCCTGATTTAAGCCCACTGAAAGTATAAATACATAAAATAACACATTATGTTGTGATTAATTCAACCTCAGGATTTGCTAGCATGACAATTCAAAGAAGGTGAAAGACAATATGATATTTTATAAAGTAAGCAATTTCAAAATTTTTCACCATAAAGGGCAACAGGACTATTTTTTTTCCCTGAGGAGGAAGAAGAAGACACCTCACTTTTCATCCAAGAAGTTTAATCAGTTCTAAAAGGATGGTGGGGACGTTCAAAGGACCATGTTTCTTTGGCAGTCATTGTCATTAGCAGTCTCCCTAAGAGCTCTTGAAGCCACTTGGAGGGTTTATCTGTCAAATGGGGGGTGGGAGAGCATGAAGTTGCTCAATGTTCACACAAATGGCCTCTTTTACCTCTCTTTAAACCCAATGCTGGACCATTATGTAAACACTGAGCAGTCCTCTCTCCACAGAGGGGAGGGATAAGACACCACCTATCTTCGGCCTACAATGCATCCCTTGCAGCAGTTTCAAATAGATTTGCATTCTGGTACAGGTGAGCCTGAGGGCATAGATAAATCCTCCAAGTTCTCCCAGGGAAAGTATTACAATCAGATGACTGCAAAAGAAATATGATGCTTCCAACCTCCTCCCATCCTGTCAGAACTAAACCTTCCCATCAACCCCACCATCCTGTCAGAACCGATGAAACTTCTTGGATGAGAAACGAAATGTCTTCTTCCTTGGGGAAAAAAACAGTCCAGTTGCCTTTTGAAAAAGCACTTTTGAGGTAACTATGACCTGGATGACTGAGAATCTACACAAATATTCTTCATCACAAATTCCTTATTCCATGGACAAAACCCACTCCACCCCCAAATAAAAATATATATCACAAATTCAATACTGCAAATCAAGAATGTATGGCCCTAATCCAAGGTCATATAATAAGATTTATTACAAATAATTCTCATCAAGGGTAACTGGGACCAGCCACTACATCACTAAAGGACATGGTTGTAAGGCCTTTATTTGATAAGGCAACTTGCCAACTTACGATGAATGTTCCAGCATAGTTAGATGGCATCCCACAGTCACGCAATTACAATTTGTGATCTCCTGTCAGCCTCTCCATTGATTTTGCTTGTCGGAAGATGGCAGTGAAGGCCACAAAAGTGACCATGTGATAATGGAATGCTGTGATGTTCTACTTGTGATCTGATCATTGATTACCCAAATTACAATCAAGTGATCACAGGGACTCTGCAATGGGTATAACTATGAGGATCCATCATACAACATCAACTGTTGTAATTCAAATGGTCACTGAATGAGTGGTTGTTAAGTGACGCCTACCTATCTTTAAGTAGTCTGGACACAATTGAGCTGTAAGTTATATTTTAAAAGCTATGTGGCTCTTAAATAAATATTCACTGTAAACAGATTTTTAAAATTATGAATATGTGGGTATAGATTACCTTCAAATATGTTTCTCCTCGTTCTTCATACTGGAACTGACAGTCTGTCCTCTTCAGAATATCAATAGTGGAACCACTTACATGAATCCGCAGAGCTAAAAGTAAAGATAAAAAATACACAAAATTTGTAAGATAGTTTTTTTTATTTTATTACTTTTGAGTTGTGTCAAATTTATATAGTTGATATTTAGTAATTCTTGATTTTTATGTGTGAAAGCAATAGAATTCAGTTATCTGAAAATACCATTGTTTTTATGAGTAATATTTGTAATTAAATATATATGTATATGTTGTGGCCCCGATTCCCAAGCCTATGCTGTCAGAGGAAGAGGACCTGGAAGATGAGGAGGAGGAACTGGGAATGCCTTCCTCCCCAGGACCTTCCGACTAGTTAGCCAAGAAAACCCAAGTGTCCAAAATCAGATGCCGAGGGGGCCCAGAGTCAACCTTCGCTAATTCAGGCGGGTGTTTGATACGTGCCCAGCCTAGGGTTTCTCCCCAGGTCGGGCCTGCCCCGTTTCCTGACTGATCACGCCAAGATTCAGGCATAGGCTTGAGCGCCCCACTTCGCTTTAGAGGACAAGAAATAGCGAAATGTCCACCACCACCCCCACAATACAGGCACAACCCCCCTTGGCGTCTCCACATTCACTCCTGGGCCGTCAGGTGAGGTCTGGCCGCTCCCAACTCCATTGGCTCATCGGCCGCTGCCACAACACATGGGGTGACCCGGGGCGCTGTTAGCACAGGGTGCGGTGGTACAGATGCAGATGGCTGCTCCTGGATGGTGCGACAGTTCTTTCACCATTGGAGACATGCGTCGATGCGCAAGCATTGCACCACCAGAGCGTTGAGAGTCAGGGGTGCTTCCACTCGAACTAACTCATCCTACAGCTCATCTGACAGGCCATCCTGGAAGGCATCCATTAACCCTGCGTCATTCCAGTTGGAGTCCAGGCACAAAAGCCGAAATTAAGAAATAAACTCTTGCAGGGGGCGCCTCCCTTGGCGAAGCTCCTTAAGACGCCTGGCTGCCGTCTGCACTCGTATGGGGTCTACATACATGTGGCGCATGTGTTGCCAAAAACCCTGGTAATTAGTTAATAACGGGCTGTTCTTGAGCAACAAAGGTGTGGGCTATCTGGTGGCTGAACCAGAAAGGAGGCTTATCACAAACCCCACCTGAGCACGATCATCTGGGAAATCCTCTGGCCTCATAGCCATAAATAACTGGCACTGTCCCATGAAAGCCAGGAACATCTCAGGCTGCCCAGAAAACTTATTTGGCACAGCCACCGGGCATTTCTGATGGGGAGGGGGAGGAGGAGCTGCATGAGCCTGCAGCAAAGCAAGTTGGGCTGTTAATTGAGCCACTTGCTGTTGTAGAGTTTGATTTTCATCTTGCAGCTGTTGTTGAAACTGCTGCTGCTGGTGGTGGTGGTGGTCCATCTTAGGTAGAAGATGGTTTAAGTCAGGTATGGGACAAAAAATGTTCTGTCTCGCCTTTCCTCTTTCCCAAAAGATGAAAGAGTACACACACACACAAACACAGGCAGGCAAGCTGGCTCGGACTTCACAGAGTTAATTCTTTGGAACTGATAATATTCTTGGCATTCCACCACATCCTGCCTGCCAAGTCCGAACTGATAACAAATAAAGTTTTACTCACAGAAAATCACAAGGCAGTCCACGAAAATAATCATTCATGAAGAAAATCTGAAGTAAGGTTAAACTTTGTCCCATACAAAGTTTAAAGAGAAAACACACCCACTTTTATCCCCTGTGGGGTGTGGCTCAATGACTTGGCTCACTCTCTGATCCTCCCACACCTCCTACGTTGCTGCTCACATTTCTCCCTATAACACTGCTTGGGGTTGAGCCAATACTCTTCCTCTTTACTCCCTGTCAGGGGCTGCTCCGACATGCCTTCCTCCTGATTAATCTCAGGCTGCTCCTCTCGGTTGTCTGATGGAACCTGAGGCATTACCAGGGAGGAAGGTCCTGGGGAGGAAGGCATTCCCAGTTCCTCCTCCTCATCTTTCAGGTCTTCTTCCTCTGACAGCATAGCCTCGGGAATCGGGGCCACAAATAAACCACATCTTAGTCCTATTACAAGAAGGCAAGTACAATATTACAGCTATTACTGAAACTGGATGGGATGTTCCATGATTGGAACATACTGCTAGAAGGATATAAATTGTTCAATGAGACAGACTCAACAAAAGAGGAGGAAGAGTGGGAACTACAAGTTCTAGAATTTCTTGCCAGCTTGGAGAGTAAAATCATGCAAGAAATGTTTTCAGGCCAATGCTGTGATTGGGCTGGAAATCTAATTACCACTGTCAAAAGCTAGCTATGCTGAGGACTTCCGGTTGACATCACAGTGAGAATGGCTGGAAAATAGTGGAGCTCCACTGGGCTCTGTGAAATGCAGCTGGCAACTGCTTTCTGGGAGACCCTAATGGGGTTAAACCATCCTGGAGGGGTAGTAAAGAAAGGAGAGGTGCTTTGTCAAACATGAGGAAACTGCAATTTCCTCATTGATCTGAAGAAAGCTCTCCTGAACAGCAGCAAGGATGACAGCTATTTTGGTCTGTCACAAGCTGGGACAACTGGGACACTAAGATCTTGTGCAGGAGCGGTGCATGGACAGAACAGTGAAACTTGGTCAGCTAACATCCAACTGTTACATTAGAGATTTAACCAAAGTAAATAGTTCCAGAAAGGACCTCCAAATGTTAAGAAAGCAGCGATTGGATTTATGGAGAAAGATTAAAGACTAAAAATTAAAGAGGAAGATCAAATATTAAAGACATAGAAATAAAAGAAAAACCTAAAAGATGATTTAAAACATAGAAAGCCTGGAAACCTGAACAACATTGTGAAAAATGATTATTGAGAGAAATTTCTTTTCTGACATTTAATCTCTAATCCCATTATACAGTGGTATGTTTCCTGCACACCTCAGTTAACTGTTTTGTGAATAATTCAAATATGGGTGTCATATTTCCTTAGCTTGGTAGGATAGCCTGTTGCACACACTTGAGGAATGTCACCCCCTCCCAATATTCATTATAACTTGAAAGTTATACAATGACACTTGTATTGTACATTTCCATCAAGGAGGTAAGAAGCTATATATGTTTCAGTGCCTTGTAATCTAAATTCACAAAAATTACACGCTTATTTATGAGATAATGATTGGCCCCAGATTTTAGTAATTTTTATCATACCTTGATAAAATGTTTCTTTTTATATATGGAATTCTGAATTTGACCGTATAAAATATTGTATAATTAGAAACTCTGAAACTATTCTTACGTAAACCTGTAGACTCCATTCTTGAAGCTGTGTTCACCGTGTCTCCAAACAAGCAATAACGAGGCATTTTAATCCCAACCACACCGGCTGCGCACGGACCTGAACACAAGACAAAATAGAAATTATCTGAAAAAGTAAGTCCATGTTGTCTAATTAATCTCACTGTTTACAATTCCTCAATCATGTGTATCAGTATTTGTAACTCATAACTCATAGATGTTTACACCCATCATTAATACTCTTTCTCATGAGGTAGAGTATAAAAAAGTTATACCGTAATCAATTAGCAATCATATGAATAGAGTGAACTATAGTCGACCAACCAAAAATTATGCCATAATGAAGTTATTAAGATACCATAAATTATTTGTTATTTTTCTGAATGTGTGTTCATGAAAATATATGGCAGAGGAATGACTGTAGCAGGGTTGATTTGATCAGTTATGTTTATGAATGGAAAGCCCTGGTAAAGAATACTTTCTCTTCCTGCATATATAGATGGTGCAACTGGAGAAATGTTAAAAGATAGATATGAATGACTATGCAATATTTTAAAGATGTGTGATAGTTGCATCTCTGCCTGATAATTGGAAGAATGTTATCACTGTTCCCTCATATAAAGGAAAAGGCAACAAGAGTGGATGAAAATTTCTGGTGGACTGGTTAGATAAATGTGCTTGGGAAGATACTCAGCAGAATATTGACTGAAATATCCAGGCATTGAGCAAAATTTGACAAACGCCTTGTTCCCTTGTTTGTTTTTTTACTTTTTTTAGTAGATCATTAGGAATTGTTTCACTGAAAATTTATTATATGTAAAACAAAGATATGTGATGTCCCTTGACTGTTTAATATATGTATGGGTAAATGACAAAGAAATGTTTATACTGATATTAGATTTGTGTTGCGTACACAAATGTGGATGTGGCTTTGTTCATGGATGATATTATACTGTTGATTGAGAATATAAGTGATATGTAGTGACTGTGCGAGAGAGTGTATAATACAACGAGGTATATCAGTCTCAAAAATATTTCATTGAAATCCAAGACAGATTTGGTCAAACACTCTAAACCAAATATCTGAAGGAAGAGTAGATGGGCTGGGAATAAGGAGAAAATGGAGAATTTTACAGTTGGATGGAACTGATTAAATTCTGAAAAACAGAAAGGTAAGAAGTATGCAGAAAAGGCCGCACATGACTTAAAGACAACACATGAATTGTTGAATGGACATGGTGAGAAAAAGATGGTTTGCAGCACTGAAAAACATGGAAAGATGCAATAAATGCTGCTAAGTTGTGATATAAACTATACTTTAGTTTCCTTTTCTTCTCTCGTATTTCCTTCTGTTAATTTCTTTCCATTACTGATTCTTACTCCTTTTCTGCACTTTGCATAGTTGCTTCTCTCAAATGGGAATAGCATAAGAGCTAGATATCAATATTGGTTTAATATTTTTTCTATTGAAATAGTAAAAAATGTATCAGTTCAATAATTTATTTACAGCCTTTAATACACTTAGTTCAAGTACTCCTTCACAGTCCACATAGTCTGGAAGGAAGGTTTATTACACAAACTACAACTGAACATCTTATATCAAAAGACTATCCACTTTATTAATAATATGCTGAGGGACAGGACTTTTCAAATAATAATGGGAGGGGAAAAAGCTAATGGGAAGGAAAAGTGCTCTTTCAGATCTAAAATCCTCTTATTTCTGAATCAAGCAGAATTCTTTTCCTTTCAATTCCAGTCATATCAAATTGTCTAAGACCTTTTCCAACTCTCTATTATATCATTTTACTTTATCAGTAATTTGTTTTGGTTCTCCTAATTTCTTCAATTTATTTCTTCTTCTTCTTTCATTTCTTTCCTCTTTACAAAATCTTCCATTCTCTTTTCAAATGCAGCCACTATAAACAGATTTGGATACTCCCCCCCATCTTTTCAAACTTTTTTGTAATATTCACAAAATAATATTGTTTTTATTGGCTGTTTTAAGAATCTTCTCACATGACACTTCGCTGCTTTTGCAGTGGTAACCATTTTTGAAATTTGTAATCCAAAAGTAAAAGTGAGTCAAATGAGTTCCAGAAAATCCTGGTGAAGACACTAGAAAAAATTTAATCTTTAATATTTTGGGGGGAATGAGGTACACAGGCAGAGCAAAGTACAGTATGTAGGATTAATATATGATTTGCACAATTTAGAAATATATTAAGGGATATTCTTGTGTACTTTTTCAGGAAGAAGACAAAAGACCAGGTTTTGGGCAGCATTCCAAGATCAGACTGAAGATTAACAATGTAGATTCAATTGTATTTAAAAAAAAATTGATCAAGATAATGACAAAGGGAAGGGAGTTTTTTTTCCTGAAAAATTCAAACAGAAAAAAAAATTGTTTTATTGGGACCAAGTGCATCCTTACTTTTAAAAAACAGAAGTTTAAATTGAATTCAGTACAAAATGCAAGAGAATTTCTGGAAAATTTTAAAGGGGAAAGGGAAGAAATGCAAATAGAGGTCATAAAAATGACTAAACAACAACTACAGAATACTGAAGATGATGCTTCCATCTTAGGCACTACAGGGAGTGACTTTTCTAAATTCTTCATATAAATATGAATGCCTAACACAAAATATAAATGGAGCAAATGCTCCTCAAAAAAGAACATTGTTGATTATTTGAAAAAAATAATAAAACCATATGTATTCTGCTTATAAGAAAACTTATCACATAAAAGGATAAAATATTTGGTTCACACAGATGTAGGGTTTATTTCAATGGAGCTGTTTTGTATATGAATCTACAATTACAGTCAGAGTTGATATTAGCTGATGTTATGGTAGATATGTGAGAATGGAAATTAATTTAAACCGGATGTTCTTGACAGTTCTACTTTATTGTTCTTGATGAGAAAGTCAAGATATCAATAAAATTTGCTTTAGACCAGTGACCCCCAACCTTTTGGGCACCAGGGACCGATTCCATGAAGAAGGTTTTTTCCCATGGACTGGAGGGGGTGTGGTTTCACATGTTGCCTGCATCCCATGGATGGGGTTTTACTTGTTTACGTGGCCAGATTCTGCCATGCCATAGACAAGTGCTGGTCCAATGGATTGGGAGTTGGGGACCACTGCTTTACTCTCTTGCCCCCATTTTTTCTTCTTAGGAATTTAGAGAGTAATATATGTGGTGGCTTAATTAAAACATAACTATTAATAATGCTGTCAACTAAAAAGATACTCCTTTGGTCTTTTTAGCTGCCAAATACTTTCTTTGGGCTTCCTGAAAAGAGCAGTTTTCGTGCACAGTACAGAAATTCTGAATTTTGTATATAAGGGTATATAAAATACAAATTACAAGGAAGTATTGATCAATAATATCAGGAAGCTATTTATGCTTGATATTATCTTTATAATATTCACTATTTTTTTAACAATTGGTCTCCACTGTTAATTTTCTTAAAGGTCACATTTGAAATCCTAAGAAATATATAATACCATTTCTATTATTACTTTGGGAAAACTTAAACATGATATTAAACATAATTGGTTGATTTGTTTGATCAAATGTTTAATAGAATCCTCGTACCAGAATGAATTCCTATTCGAATCCATACAGGAAGGCCAGGAAGATGTTGTAATTCAAATGACCCCATGAAACTGAGTATATCCAGGGCCATCATAGAAATGTCCACTGCGTGACAGTTACCATTTCTGTTTGGTAAACCACTTACTACCATATATGCATCCCCAATGGTCTCCACCTGTTGAAACATGACAAAAAGTCACAAGATATATCTGCTTGGGGAAAACGTACACTGAACAACCTTCAATTAACAAAATAAGTCTATGATTATCTCAAATATACCAACTGGGAGCAGGAATCTAACACTTTTAGAAGACTCCAGATTGAAGAAACTTGTTACAGTGAGACTTCATGAGAGTATGGATTTTTAAATTTTAAGAAAAGTATCTCCTTTTTATTACTTTGGAAAAACATTTTAATTGAGAAGGACTCAGACATAAATAATTGTTGCCTTTTTTAAATTCATTGCTGCCCCCACTACTTTTCTTTCATCTCAAGGTAACTTTTTATATTCTGTTCTCAAATCAGATCACCTTGTAAACATCATGATGATCAAGAATGTGGTCAAAGTTCTTGTAGATGTCATTCAGCATGTCTACCACTTCCATAGGTGTGCTGTATTTACATATGGTTGTGAAGCCCACAATGTCACTGAAGTAGATGGTGACTTCTTCAAACAATTCTGGCTCTACAAGTCCAGTTTCCTTCAAAGATTTTACCACAGGCCTGTGGGGGGGGGGAAGGGGGTGAGGCTTATTAATTTCAAAGTGTGTTTTTAAAAAATAATTGTGGTATGATAGCCATAGCTTTTATCTCTTGTTGAATCGCCTTGAAAGAGATGGCAGCTGTAAAAATGTGATTAATAAATAAAATAAATAATTTGTTAAGACATATTAGTTAATAATTAGTTCACAGCTAATTAATAATTACTTAATTAAAGTATTAAAGCATATATAGAACAGCTATTCATATTCCTTATGCAACACATTGGAAATCAATATTATCAAAATTATCTTAACACTTTGCTGTTGTGAAATTCCTTTACTGTAATATCACACTGTTGTATATATAAGAAGAAGAAGAAAGCAAAGGTAGTACCAATAGTAGTAGGTGCCTCGAGTGCAATCCCAAAACAACTGGAACACCACTTGAACACTATCAGCACTGACAAATTCACCATCTGTCAATTGCAAAAGGCAACTTTACTCAGAACAGCTTACATCCTGTGACGATATCTGTAACAGCATGAACTATCTAGATCTGTCTATCCCAGGTCCTTGGAAAGGACTTGATAGGTAGACAAAAATGTCAAATCCAGTCTGAATGGCTGACTACAACGAACTATATTTTATAAAGTAAGTATATTGGTCTAATTATGTAGAGTTTGAAATAGCATAAATATAATAACATTTAAAAACCATTCTTCCATAGACCAGACATTCCATCTCCACAAATGAACCCTGCATGTGGCAAGCAGGATACAGTATTCCAAAGCAGCACTTGGTACAATACCTGTAGCCTTTCCAAAATCTGCCCAAGAAAAATCAAGACTATACGTCCTTTTTCAACAAAGTTACTTAAAAAGCATAAACTTTATTCTGCCCATTTGTAGAATGATCTTTCTCTAAAAATTGTATTTGCTTCTATTCCTTTTGAAGAGGAATAGAAGAATTTTTTGCATGCTATCCAGACATAACAAGATAAATCCCTCATGCTGTTCAATATTGTACAAGTTTTTGAAAAGACAAATATATTTAACATAGACTTTAAAGCTTATCCTGAAGTATTTGGACAAGAAATCAGCAGAATTCCATTGCAGGTATAGACCATTCCCTGGTGAACAACACTCACCGTGGGAGAAGCATGAAATTTAGTTTGTCAGCTCTATCTCGTTCTGCTTTGTACAGCTTGGTTCTCTCTTCTACTAAGTGCTCCAGGTTTCGTGAATACAACTGCAGACGTCGGATCAATGTGTCCATATAGCTCTCATTGTTTTGGTTGTGGTAGTTGCTAGGAATATTGTAAGAACAAAAACAAAAATTTTCAAGAAAAACAGCAAATAGAAATTGGTGGAAATTAATCTAATCTAAAATGTTATACAATCAAAAGGAACATCCACCAATTCTCTCCCTCTGAATAAAAGCTATAAATAGACAAAAATGACATTCTAGAAATGGTTTTGTAGTTGAGTCTTAAAAGAAAAAAAAGAATATTAGTATTTAAGAGTTTACAATGCTACACTAGATATCTTAAGGAAAGAGAAAGAAGAGAGAGGCAGAGAGAACACATGAATGAGAGAATAGCCAGGGAGGTACTGTATAATATTCAGGGTTAACTCTAGTCAGTAATGATTGGGGGAGGAGAGGGATTTCCCTAACCCCTGCTATGTGAGGCACTGCAAAATTTCAGTTCTCTCTTTATTTACATGAGGCCACCGGATGAGATCATCAATCACAATAAGCTGATTGGTGCCTTGACTTATGATCCTTATGATTTACAACTGAAATTCCAGCCCCAATTGTGCTTGTGGGCTACCTGAAGAGACAGAGAGACAGAGAGACAGAGACAGAGACAGAGACAGAGAGACAGAGACAGAGACAGAGACAACGAGAAGAGCCTGAGTAGAACAACCTATATGATCCAACTGGATTTTTGCATAATTAACCTTTATAATAAATAACCATATTATTTTACTTGATTTCTCTTTATTCACATCTACATGTTCTCTTCTTATACATGGACATTTTTAAAATCAAATAATGGGTTATCATTTACTTTTGCCCATGACCTGAACATTTTGTCATATTACTATATAAAACCTTGCTTTAATGTTTATTAGTTTCTTACCTAAATATCCTACCTAGAGTAGTTTCAATTTTCTTAAAATCTGGCCTCTTTTCTGGATCTTCTTCCCAGCAGCTTTTCACTAGAATGTATATCTGGCAATGCATATTCCAAACCAAGGTTAGTTAATATATTTTAGGTTCTATGATAAAATATCAAAATGGTGTTTTTCCTTCAGATAAGGTTAATTCCTTTCCCACCCAATTTCCACTTCCTTGACATACTATTGTATCAAATATTAATCAGTACCTCAACTCTTTTTCTTTGCAAAACTGAATAACTAGTGAAGCAGTTAATTTATTTTAACATAGCCTGCCTTTCCTCCTGGATCTTAAGACACTATACAATGCCCTGCTTCCAATTTTTCCCTATAATAAAAATTCTGTTGAGCTTGGGAGTGAGAGAAAGTGACTGGCTTAACATCACATGATGGAAAATGAGTACACCTTATCTGAAGGAAAAATTCCATTTTGATATCTTATCATAGATATACTGAATAACAGATATACTGTTATTTCTTAAATGTACATATAGAGCCTATTTGAACAGGAAAAAAACCCGGAATGAATAAATAAGTAAATGAACAGGGTTATAGATATGAACCGCAGAATTAACAAAACAAACATGTAGATCTTCCAGGTATTGTAGCCCAGATCTGGTAGCATAATTATTCCATTGTTCTTACCTCCCCAAAGGAAATTATTACCAGGCCTGTTTTCTCAGTGAAGCACCAAGGTTAAAACCATTTGTTCAGAGGTGGTATTCAGCAGGTTCTGACCAATTCTGGAGAACTGGTAGCGGAAATTTTGAGTAGTTCGGAGAACCAGCAAATACCACCTCTGACTGGAGATTTTACAGTATCCTTCCCCTGCCATGCCCACCAAGCCATGCCCACAGAACTGGTAGTAAAACATATTGAATCCCACCACTGCGATTTGTTAGAAGAAAGTTGGCAAGAAAAATATAAGGGCTTGTTTTCATGTCTGTTGAGGTGTGTAAAGTCTACATTCTAACAGCAGTAATCAACTAAGAGAAGAATTGCAGTTGGAGAAAAATTAATTACATTTTGCAGAACTCCATTAAGTTGTTAGCAGAAGGCTATTACATGGTGAAATTTAAAAACACTGGACCCACAACACTGTTTGTCAAATTTTCTAATTTCAGCTGACATGCATATATTTCACTCTATCAAAAACTCTTGTTTCAGTCAGAACGTACATCTAGCTCTCGCTCCCCTTCTGTCTCCAATAAAAGATCTGGCCGGAATGGTCGTTCTTCTTTGCTGCTTTCTACTCTATAAAGTTTTTCTGTAGTGGGAGAGAAAATGTGCAATACAGATGTATATAAATAAGCATAAAAAGACAATGGATAAGCTTGCCCAACCTGGGGAAACTCCAATTGATCTCCTCCTCTTTGGGAATAATGAGATTGGAAATCTAATACATTTGGAGGATATAAAAGAGTAAGAGCACGAGAACAAGAACTGTTGTAGGTAGATAGAAACCATCGAGAAAATATTTTATGAATAAAGATAGGCTCAAACTTAGCTCTGAATAAACCTATTCATTCTTTGATAAAATCCTATAGACTGATTTTTATATTTGTGAGGTATGCCAGAATAAAATCCCTGCTAGGGTAAACAGAGGAATCAAGAGCAATTGATGCATATTGTTACTATATACAGTATATACAGAAATAAGGAAACAGCATGATGTTGGCATTGAAACAACTTTTTCCTACTCTCCAGATACACTGAAGTAAAAACTAAAAGTTGGGAGTCCCAATTATAGATTTCCTATAATAAGTTATTTGACATTTAAAATAGTATGCCTTGGCTTACAGAAGCAAGTGACACCCCTAGTGAATTCCTTTGAAACAGAAATTTTCCTTTTATATGAGTTGGATGGCTATATAAATTTGTCTAATAAATAAATAACATTTTTGTAACAGGATAAATATAGTAGATAAAAGCCTTTAAAGTTATGTTACATCAGTTTAATATCATAGTCAGTGTGGGGGGGCGGGTTGTATTTGCTTTCCTATCCTGAACATATTCTGTGCTATCAGCAAATGAAATATAAATACAGATTTTATCTTGAAATCTTATTCCTGCTTTCATTCTTCACTCACATTTTCTCCAGTTCTCACAGAAAGAAAAGAGGTCATTAAAAACATCAGTGCCATCTGATAAGATCTTCCATAGTCACTCTCTTAACTTACCCTGCTTAAAATTATAAGGAGAAAGAGTAATGGGTAATGAGTAACATGCAGATGGTATAGATTCCCTCTCCAGCAAAGGCTAGATTGGGAGTATCTGCTACCACCTGGGGTACAGTGGCTGATGCCCTTACCACACACTTGTGAACTACTGCAATACTCTACATGGAGCTGCTTTTGAAGAAATCTTAGAAGTTGGAATTGATATGCAGCAACCAGGCTCCTAATACAGAACCTGCTATTGACGAATAACACCTATATTGCAAGTGCGGCACAGGTTGCCAGTTGATTTCTGGATCGCAATTCAACCTGAGGTCCTTTTGAGAAGGTTTCTTTAAGATTGTGCTTCTGAAAGAGGATAAAGAGTTGTGAGCCAGTTGGCAGGTCTTCTCCATGGTATTTAATATTCTGTTCTCAAAGATGAGCTTTGCTTCTTCTATTTTTGGCATTCAGGAAGATAAGAAAACTTACGTTTAAACAAGCATTAATGATCTATTGATTGATATCAGGCAACTATATTTTACTCATTTTTAATTATGAGTTTATGCATATAATAGGTTTATTTTTGTCAGGTGTTCCATGTTTGAGTTGTAAATTACTCAGATTTGTTTGACTGAGCAACATTTTATATAATAATTATATATGTATATATGCAATCTTGCATCTCTATTAGCCAATTGAAACCTGAAGATATGCTACTTTACTGCAAATAATTATGAAAGTAATCAGCAGTTGTCAGACTAGTTCTAGATGTAGATTACAAAGCCATGATTTTTGAATTCTTAAAAAAGGGCTGCAGTTTTAAAAAGCTGACTAGAAAGAAGATAGATTTTTAAAAACCATATCTATGTAAAGACCATGATAAGAATAAAGATATACTTATGAAAATACGATATTATGTTTTAATTGTATTTATGTATGGATAGGAAGAGTGTGCATTGAAGAGAGATGAGAATTTTAGGTCACCTTTTATTGTTTGCTACATATAGATTTGATTTCCTAGCACTCCTACTTTCACAAATGCTTACACCTCCATGAAATCTGGAACAGTCACATGAAGTATGGTGATATGTCACCGAGTCACCATCAGTCAAAATTCTGCTGAGCATTATAAGTTATTATGAAATGGCTCCAAGTATTATATATAATAATTATCATTAGAATTACATTATAATTATACATACTGCAATTGCTTTACTGCTATGAGCAGCAGCAACATATATTACAAAAATGCTACAGAATCGCAAATTTGTAAGAAGTTTCCAGACAAGAAACAATGGATGGAAACTAATTAAAGAGAAACTTCCTAACACTTAACTTCCTTAACAGTTTTTAAAATGTTAAAATATACTGACAAAACATTAAACATTTTATTATTAAACTTCAGTTGTTCTTAACTATGTATTGTTCAAAATTCTAGATTTCAAGAGAATCAAGGTCAATGTAAATGAAAAAAAAATGGGTCATTCTTGTTATGAATATTAAATTACTCTGCTCTAGAGGGTGTTTAGGCAAAATGCAGCCATTAAGCTCCTTCCCCTTTGTAGTGTTACTCATTCTTCATGTTTTTGGGAAATATATCCATACCAGTTTTCCAGAAGGAACTACACCAAGTTTTGTTTTTTTCTTTTATCACTCTCACCACACAGAAAGCATAAGAGCAGCCAGCAAAACAGAAGAGAGCTGGAGGGGAAAGATTCGCCACAGAGTTTTCTGCTGGAATATGTAGTAACATGCACTCAACAATGCTAACCAATAATATGCTCCGATTATTGGGAATTGGGGGGTGGGGGTGGGAAAGCAAATTCAGAAGGGGCAGTATCCATGTATATTAAACAGGGATCTTCATTCGCAGTCTTTGAAAGTTGCCAGACACTTTTGGCTATTAATAGGTAAGCACAATGTTTTGATCCCAAATCAAACAGAGATGTTTTACAAAATGCATAGGCCAAATAAGTTGACTCATACTAGTTGATTTATAGTGGTTCTTTTAAAGACTGTGCTATTTATTTAAAGACTGTGTTATTTACCTATAACTTCCGCTTGTCAAAATATAAAAGTGAAACCTGTACTAACTAAACAGTGTGGTCCAGATCCTTTAGCAGTCTCAGAGGTACCTGCAAGCTTAGAATCCTTAAGAGGTTCAATGCTTGAACTGAAACCAACAATCCAATCTGAAAGTTCATATCCATTACCTAAATGAACTATGAAATAAAGACTGAAATATCCAATTTTGGAAACTCCAGGATTTAAGAAATAGAAAACATACTGGTGATTTAAGACTGCAATTAATTCATCAGAAAATATTGTTTGTATTTGTTGGATTCCTCAAAGAATATTTAAAAAGAGATACTTTATTTTTTGTGCTAATATTCCATGAAATCTGAAGCTTCTTTAATTGGTATAGTTTGACTATATCCAACTGTAACTTTGTTTTGATTTCAAATTATATCAACAGTTTGGGGGGAAATATTAAGAGTTAAAGTCATAAATACGATATTGAACAATATTGCCTAAACATAAAATGTGTCATTTCAGGAAGTTTTGACCTAATATAGGGCTGGGCAAAGAAAATCTTATGCAAATGAGGTAAACATCTTCCCAATATTAACAATTGGGTTTGGGTATATAATTATCTCTTTTTTAAATATACATTTTATGTGCTAAAAATGAGATAATAAAGCAATATATTTCTACATGGTTTTAATTTAATCATTTAAGATTGAATTAATTCAATTAATACTAATATTAATACTACATGAACTATGAATCTTATTTAGTTCTTTTTACTTATTTCAGTAAATTATTATAACATTTATTATATTATCTATCTTGTACACGTATTATACTTTTTTCTATTTCTATTGCTGGGAATCTGTTGTTTTTTTAAGTGTAAGTCTATAGTCACCCCTCTCTTTATGCACCTTTGTTTACCTTTAGAATTCCGACAATGGTTAGTGTAGAAAGTCTCTTTACGCAGAATAATCTCTTGTGCTATAATTCCATAGCTATACACATCACCTTTCTGTGATACATCACCACAGCGGAGGTGTTCAGGAGCAGTCCAGAGATCTGATTTACAGAAAGAAATCATGATTGTAGATATGGGTGGACAGACAGGCATCTGATAATTTAATCAATTCTCATATTGGTTTGGCTTCCATTAATTCTATGAATTGTTTTATCGTGATCAAAAAAAAATTGTTTTTGTGGAATATAAAGATGACAGAGGATAGTCATCCCGACAGTTAATATCAGAGACAGTGATCTAACATTTGTCTATTTTTAAGGATAGTTGTTGTGCTTAGATCTTGCATATAGGTTGTCTAAGACATTTGGTTAGCCAATGTGAGACCTAAAAATTAAACTACAGAAATCTTTGGTCAGAACTAGTAAGACTGTTCTTCCATTCTGAAAGTGGTCAAGTAAAAGAATTTATTTATTTACTTATTTATTTGTAAGTATAATTTAATCCATTCAATAATTTGATTTATAACATTCTACTTAAACAGGCACTCAAGTGACTAACAACATTTTAAAATGGGATATAAAAGATTAAAAACTTATAGTGCCCATTGAAAGCATTCCATTATGAAACCCTGTGAAACAAAAGAAGATAACTGTTACTGTCATTTTTTTCTGTGGACACACTGGCGCACATTAAAAATGAAATTCTGTTGTTTGTTCTCAAAATTGTGCACATACATAACACACATATAGATATATTATATAAATACATAGGTATATACCTGTACCCTAGGATATAAATACATATAAACATTAATCACTGTCCATCTTGAATACATAGCAGAAAGAGGAAGCTTGAGAGATCACAAGGTTGATATTGTGTGGAACAAAATTGCGGTGACAACTCAGATTTCTTTTGAAGCTTGGCTTGAGACTCATGATTTAAGTAGGGCACCTGTTGAAACCCTGACATCTGGCTGAATCTGAATGTTCTGCTTTGGATACCATGAAGCCTCTTCCCAGAAGGTAACAAGGAAAACAGAAGAATCCTTACAGATTTTCTACATATTGAGCATGTGAAGGCCAAATTCAATTCCCAAGGGTACATGTCCAATAGGAGGTAATACCCATTAGTTGATGTTAAGACCATCTTTAATGTGCTATGCTTAGTCATTTTATTTCCTGAAATATAACTCTTGGTCAGAGGGATCTACAATGGGTCAAAATAGGGATTAAAATAGTTTGAGAAACAAAGTTGGCCTACTTTCCATGGAACTACACTGGCTGAACCAACTCTAAGGGAGAGGAGACTGGAAACCTGGTTGCCAGACAAAAGCATTCTAACTGCCTGGCATTTGTAGCAATTAGAAAAATTATGACTTTTTAGCAAAATCCCTGCCCTCCTCATTAAAAGGAAAGGAGTTATAATTTTTCTAATACATTATTGAAAAGAAATATAAGAAAGAGGTTATCAAGATCAGTTTAAGTATACTTGGATGTAATTAAGAAGTGGACGGTCAAGTCTCTTATTATATTAGTGAGTTCATATGGGACACAATTAAAACAAAGGTGGGGGATGTGATGTTTCAATAATTATCTTGCCTTGCTATCTCAGGATTTTAAAAATGAGAAGTAGTAAAACCTGATTTAATCACAAACAATCATTAAAAAAACACATTCCTGTCTCAGTGGCATCACCTGTATCATTATTATATTTTTTGGATTCTAGAGCTGATTGACTACAAAAGCCAGCATTCCTCGTAATATAACTGTCATCATGCTGCCTCAAAAGCCAAAAGGTAGGTAAAAGTAGTGCATTATCTACCACAAAATATGCTTGCTCCTATTGTATAAGGTATGGTCATGAGGGGCCATGACTTCATGGCCAAATATACCCTTTGTATATGGGTCCTAGTATATAAAAGCTTTGGTATCTCTGCATAAAGCTGGAAAAAACCCTTTCTGCAAATTAACTGCCAGTCAGTGTCAGTATTGGTGAATTAAATGGACCAATGATTTGATTCAGTATGAGGCAGTTTCCTATATTCCCATTCTCAATGCATGGGTTTAAAAAAAAAAAGAAAATAAATGGTTTCTTCCCTATCTCTTAAGTACCTTTTTTAGATAGCAGAAGAGAATTGCAGCCAAAATCAGTGATTTTCACAACCATGCGTTTATCAACCACACAATTTGTGGATTTCAGGCGCCCATGGACCTCTGTTTTGCTTGAATGCAAATAAGACATTCCCTGTGAAACAGAAGGTAACAGCATAATATCATTACTAACAAATGTATGAGATAGACTGGGGCAGAGTGGCATAGCTTGTTTTTTTTTTCTGTACATGTTGTAGTTGTAGTTTTCCTTTAACAATCAACATTTTTTGTGGACAGTGTAATGACTAGGTTAATACATTTTTCACACAATGTTAATAGTAATAATACAATTACATATACAGAGTTTTTATCTTCCAACTTCTAACCTTGATATGCTCATTATAATTATATTCTTTTATGTATAATATATATATTAAGGTGACCAACTTTTTTACAATGAGGAGAACACAAATAAATTGAAGAAAAATAACAAAGCCACTTGCGTGCGGTGCACTCTTGCACATGGTGCACTCTCTCAAAACAATTCTCCTGTGTGGAGCACATGTGTTTCATAATCGTGTCTCGCTGCACTGTACCGAGCCTTGACGAATCATCATGTCAAATACGTTACATCACACACAACAGATCAGATCAGCATTGATCAAATATGGAGATTTACAGATTAGTCTTCAAACATCAAAAAGGAGGACATGTAGGAGGACACTTTTCGAGGGAGGACAGAACTTACAAAAGGAGGACTGTCCTCCCTAAAGGAGGTCGGTTGGTCACTATCTATCTATCTATCATCTATCTATCTATCTATCTATCTATCTATCTATCTATCTATCTATCTATCTATCTA